ATTGCATTAAACAATTTCTTGCAGCTGTTTTGATGGTGAGTGGAAAGATGTTCAATTCCACTGAGATTTAAAGCTTTCTCATATTTCAAATGGGGATAAATAATTCCAAATACGCGTTTCTGGACTCGTTCCAAATCTTGACTTAAATACTTGGGTAGGCTGTAGTGGAAAACCGGGACAGCATAGTCCAACACAGATCTTATACAGGTTATGTAAAATGTGATTAGTTCTTGTATTGGGATTTTTGCTCTCTTAAGTTGAATAAGGAAATATATCCTTTTGGAGGCTTTCTTGACTAATTCAGTGATATGTTTATTCCACGTAAGGTTGTTGCTAATGTTAAGACCTAGCACTTTAAAATCGGATACAACTTCTATGATTTGATTCTCAATTGTAATTGGGTTAAGCTCGGGTTGATTCCGTGCAAAAGAAATTCGTATCTCCTTACATTTATCAGCATTTAATTGCATTCTATTGATATTGGACCAATCTAAAATTTCATTTGCAATCAGTTGAGCTTCACTGTGCTCGCCTTGCAATACAACTTCCGACGCCGTGGTATCGTCAACGTATTTCCATAAGTTCTCACTATGTTTCTTCAAATCATTAATCATTATTAAGAAGAGCCAAGGGCCTAATTTGGTTCCTTGAGAAACACCAGCCGGTACTTGGCCCCATTCAGAAAGGCAACTATTTGACAGCTTAACCCTTTGATATCCATCCGATAAAAAGTCGATAATCCAGTTGATGATACTAGTTGGTAAATCTAAAGCACCTAACTTGATCCTTAGGATACTATGATCGATGAAATCGAATGCCTTTTTATAGTCAAATAGAAACACTCGGATAGTTGCTCCTGTTCCGTCCAGCATTGAGGTCCAGTGATGTAACATGTCTATTAAAGCAAATGTGGTTGAAGAATTAGGAATAGAACCAAATTGATTTGAGTCGATGGATTTCAGAATCTGTTTGTTTCATTTGATGTACACGGAGTTTATAATAGTTTGATTTACAGATTTTCCTTTCTCGATTTACTTGGTTTCGAAGAGATTTAAAACTGCTCGAGTCAGGGCCATAGGTAGAAAAAGCTTTCTGCCTTTCAATGATCAGCGATTTGAAATGGTTCGTTATCCAGGGGGCATCGACAGGACATTTCTTTGATCGTGTCATCGGCATTAATATATTAACCCCAGTAAGGACTATGTTTTGAAACATGTTCGATAACTGATCACAATCGTTAGTAGATGGAATAATTTGAGGCCAATCAATCGAGTTTAGATATCTTCCCAGGGCTCGTTTGGAACTTGGATTAATATTACGCTTAAAGGTGGTGCCATTAGAGATTAGATCTTTAGCTCTTTCCTTTGGAGATGAAATGATAGTATTGTGGTCGGATAGTCCAAAAGGGGGCATTATTAGAGGTTTTTCGTAATACTCGTGCAGATTAGTTAAGATGATGTCGAGAATCGCATTTCTGCGGGTAGGAGTCTGAACTATCTGTTTCAGTTGAAAATGATGTTTGATTCTGTTAACATTAAGACGATTAAAGTCACCTGCAACAATAAGTGCGCAGTTTAGAAATTTGGACTCTGCCTTTTTTAATGACTGGAATAAATGGTCTCTCATAGAATAATCATCTGCTCCAGGGGGGTGGTATACAATAGCTACGATAATACATGAGAACTTGCGTGGAATACGAGTAGGTCTAAGGTGCAGCCATAGGATTTCGTGCTCCTGGCAGCAAGATAACTCTAAAATCTGTTTATATTTAACATCTCGGTTATTAACGTATGCACAAACCCCACCATGGGATTTGTTAATTCGGTCCCTACGTATTATTGAAAAACCGGGAATGTTCACCACGCTGTCAGGAATAGAAGCTTTAAGCCAGGTCTCTGTGATAAATACCAGGCTGATTTGATTCCGGTGAATAAATTCGCGAACTAAGGAACTTCGTCAACTTTTGGAACGAGTGACATGACATTAGACAGCATTATTTTTGGGACATGTTCAAATTTAACAGCTTCATCTAGTGGAATTTTAACCAAGTTAAAATCGGACGTTTTATATTTATTCCGAAACCTCTTGCAATTGTAGTTATGAGTTGTTATTCTTATAGGAATGGTTTGACCCATGATCGTTTCTTTTTCCATAGTGGCATCTAATAATAATATTGATGGGTGGTAATAATATCTTAGGTGGCAAAAATCTCTTATTCAACTGTCTACTACACAGCTCTGGGCCGTTATAACGCTTCAAAGTGCTCAAACAAAAGCAACAGCTGCAGTCAGTGCCACAGTCTTCCTTTGACGCCATGTTTGTTTTTAATTAACTACTAGTAGTAACTAGTTTAATTTGCCACCCAAAATGGCGGAAAGTCAACAAATACGTATTGTGACGTCACTTGCAAGAACCCAATTCATACAGTTACTGTACATTATATAACTAAAATACTGCATACGCTAATTAATGAAGATATAACTACAGTATTAACATATTACATGTACAGTATATCTACAGTATTTAATGTACAGTCTGAGTAGGAAACTATTATTTAGTACATACCGTCCAAAAGATCCCGTATCTTGTCTAAGTAAATTTCAAAATAGGATACCTACACAAGAAAATCCAATTAATGCACTGCAAAAACTTTTCACTCAAAAACTTTAGTAAAATAATGTACCCATGCCACTCAAAATGTTGAGTGAAATTGCTCAAAATGAGCAAATTTACTCATTTCTTTGGTAAAGTACTGTAAGTGTATACTAAAAAATTGAGTAAACTTGAAACTTTACTAAACAAAATTGAGTACGGTAAATTTGCTCATAAATTTGATTAATTTTAGTAAATATTTTGAGTCATTGTGCATGGGTGCATTATTTTACTCAAGTTATTTTACTCAGAGATTTTTTGCGGTGCGTGTTTTACTGCCTAAATGCTAAATAAATGACGATAAATTTCAGGGTGCGATAATTGAAGATTTTTGGTACAGTACTTCAATCACGGTTATTGCCGTGTAATTGGGTTGGTACAACCAGGCCTGTACAAACTTGTGGTGTACTCTGTGGTGTACTTTGTGGTGTACTCTGTAGTGTACTTCGTGGTGTACGTTGTGGTGTACGTTGTGGTGTACTCTGTGGTGTACTCTGTGGTGTACTTTGTGGTGTACTTCGTGGTGTAAGTTGTGGTGTACTCTGTAGTGTACTTCGTGGTGTACTTCGTGGTGTACGTTGTGGTGCACTCTGTGGTGCACTCTGTGGTACACTCTGTGGTGTACTTTGTGGTTACTTTGTGGTGTACACTCTTGGAGTGTGTTATCTAGTTTTATATGCACTCGTTCACAAACAAGAAACTCGAAAATAAATACAGCCCTCAATACTGCACTCGGCTTCGCCTCGTGTGGTATTAAACACACTCCAAGAGTGCTTTAGTTATTATGGTATCATAATTGATTGAACATGTTGCTAACCTTAATATGAAACTCTAAATTTTCATCCATATCATAAATGTAATTAAAAATATCATCTACAATTCTTGGAATTATTCCTTGCATCGCTTCATCTCCGAGAACACCCTAAATAAATTAAACTAGTTAATCCACGCATACTCTCACAATATTATGATAATTGCATGAGGAAACAATTATAATAAACTGCATTCAGTGACATCCTTTGGACGCCCCTCTCAAGGAGGATGTCGGAATTTTCCAGTATTCCATAATTTACACATGAAGCCGGTGATATCTTTTAATAAGAGTGAATTGCCATTAAATTTGTAAAATGGAGTAGGACAAGTCAAGGTATATATTAATTTAGTTTGTCTAGTTGTTTTATAATTTCTATTTATGTACAGGTATTTGTCAATTTAAAAAAATGTTGCTTATACACTGTTGATCCTTTCAATTTCATTATAATACACCCTTTCGATAATTACGTCACAACTACACTGTTTTCAACTTAGGACCACCTTAAATGGAATGCTATTTTAAGTTTGTTTCTCACGGGCTATGGGGAGAGAAGAGGAACATCCTTCTTCAACACAATCATTAAAAAAGAATTTTGGATTTTGACCAATAAATGTAAAAATAAGCTTTAACACGAAAACGAGGGTCCAGGGGCAGCGTGAGAGCCTCGTTTTCGTGTTAAAGCTTATTTGTACATTTATTGGTCAGAATCCAAAATTCTTTTTATGATTGTGTTGAAGAAGGATGTTCTCCTTCTCCCCCCATAGCCCGTGAGAAACAAACTTAAAATAGCATTCCAGTTAAGGTGGTCCTAAGTTGAAAACAGTGTAGTTATGACATAATTATCGAGAAGGTGTATTCAAATGAGTGCAGAATCACGTTCATTTCAAAGATTTCATTTCAAATGCAACTTTCTTGCCAAAGCGTAAAGCAAAGAGCAGCCACTTATGAAAATTTTTTAACCCAACAAGTGGGCAGTACTCTCCCCTTCTGGTGTTAAATAATGTTCATAATAAAGTAGGGCATATTGCCACTTAAAAGGTAAGATTGAATTGCATATTTAATAACGTTGCTACATTATGTAACTACATAGGGGATTGAAAATTCTATAGTTAAAAGTATAAATCTTCCCATAATCTCATTGTTTTTGAAAAAAAATGAAAAATCGTAGGGAAACAATGTGACAGTGTTACAATGACCATGCATACTAATGTCCAAGTACGTCATGTTAAAACCACCAAAATTTAATTGCCAAACATTGACCGATTCGAAAACTACAATCCTGGACAAAACATCTGCAACACTTCCAATTACTTGACAAAATGTCATAATATTATCGTAAATTTAGAAAACCTCCCCCTTTCCCCCACCATTCAATGTTGATTGCATTCGTAGAATATGGATAAAACGTCCAACATTGTTTTGGGGGGTGGAGGGGGGCAGACGAGTAAATTATTCCGGTCTAACTGGTAAAAAAGGCCACAAAGGAATGTTTTAATAGAGTGTCGCAGATGATTTTGTCCAGGATTGTAGGCATCTATAAAATGATGTGTATAATATAAAATAATGCGTATAATATAAAGTTGTGGTAGCTACCACAACTTTATATTATACGCATTATTTTATATTATACACATCATTTTATATTATACGCATTATTTCATATGATAAGCATTGCCAGGCTAATAAACAATTTTTAAACTGATTATTACAGCCCTTTGAAATGGGCAAAAAAGCACCAAAACAAAGCTTGTCAGGCTTGTTTGGTAAATCTAGCATACAGTAAACTTTTAACATTTAATTTTTCAAAAAGAATGTTATATTTATACTTTGGAAAACTGTTAGTCTTGTAGTTTCTTTTTCAGAACCATCCCCAGAGATACGAATAACCAGTTTCATATTATTCTGACACTGCAATGGACCAACGAAAAATTTGTTGGCTCGAGTGGGATTCAAACTCGCATCTTCGCGTATCTAGACCGCTGCTCTACACAGCGCACTGCACTTAAATTGGATAAGACTCGCCACCAATCCCTGTTGACTCAATAGCTTAATGCCTAATGGGTAGAGCGGCGGGCTAGGTACCCAAAGATGCAAGTTCAAATCCCGCTCGAGCCAACAAATTTTTCGTTGGTCGATTGCAGTGACAGAATAATATGAAACTGCAGTTTCTTGTTGCATGCATGTATTTCTAGTAATTAAACAATCCTAGACATACTTCCATAGTGTGCGTCTTTCCACTGGATGTCTGGCCATAAGCAAATATTGTGCCATTATAGCCTCCTAACACATCTGAAAATTAAATTAATTAAATATGGTTAATCCTCTATTAAGCCTCTCATTGGCGGAGGCTTATTTATTTTAGGCATGGTTGAGGGTGTGTTTCTGTAGAGTGGAGGGTGTGATAGAATGGAGGTTTATTGAGCACTAAACATGGTCAACTTATGTGAACGGCCAGGGGCTAGTTCTACAGTACGAAGACTGGCAGTGATTTCTTCAAGCTTCGTAAAATTGTCTGTTAATTGCTACAACGAAAATTAAACTTTTTGTATTTTATAAAGTTTAATCTGTCAATAATGCGAGGTTCAGACCCATAATTTTATAGCCTTTTAAGCATTTTTGCTACAGTTGAAAAAATCATTATCCAACAGGTACTAGCGCTATCCAGCCTTGGTACAGTCAACCCCAGGCCAATTGGTAAATTTCACAGTGATGGCTTACAGCCACCAGAATTGAAGCACTTATTGACTATTAGTATTTTTGCGCATTAAAGTGTTCATAACAAATCCTACACGTTGATTGGTCAAATTTGATGTAATAAGCTGTTATATTCACCTCACCCTTGCCGGTGTTATGACCCTTAAAACATTAATATGGATTATTTCAAACTATAGCAACTTGAAATGATATGTTAAAAACATTTAATTTTCATAATGAAGAACCAGCAAAATGAAGAGGGTGGGAAAGGGTATTTTGTGAGCCGTGAATGGTCAATATTTGTTTGCGTGAAATGTGAAATGCTTGATTTTAGTGTCGTGAAATGTGATTTGTTCTACAGCCATGAGGCGTGATTGCCGATAAAAATGCTCCGTGAAATGAGAATTAAGGATGTCTGTTTCGTGAACTGTGATTTTGCTTTGTTTATCTCGATATATTTTATAATAGTTATAATAGACATGATACGCGATAATCAATTTATATGATCTCACTCGATTGCACAAGAGTAAAAACTTCGGAGGCCTTTCGGAGGTCGTCGAACATACTCGTCATTCAAACTTGTTAAGTTATGATGTAGTTTTTAACTGACAGATAGAGAAGTGAGAAAAGCGTAGATACTGTACCATGCATTAAACATACTCTTAATAAACCTATTATTATATTATTTTATTAGAATCTTGTTTTCCGTAAAATTGCTTTTTTAAGACATGTGAATCGTAAAACGGATTTTTTTTTCGTTGTGAAACCACAGTTGGCCCAGGCTTAATTTGCCCGCGCCCGCCTGTGCCTTCCTTATAATGAGGGAAGGAAGGAAACATTGAGACCAAAATAGCCCAGACTTGGCATATGTCACACAAAACTATCCTCGATTTTTCGCTTTTAATGCATTTCTTTCACGATTAATCGATATCCCCTGCAAGAATGATACCGTATAACTCTCAAAGCAACGATGCTTTAATCAAAGAGCTTAAATTCGCTCTGAAATCTGCGAGGGAATAACAAAATTCGGCCAAAATATATCGGCGTGCCGGGTTTGCTGGACAAAAAGCGGAAGTCGTTGAACAACTCAAAATACACTTAATCCTGACTGGACAACGAATATCAACAAACATTTCAAATTTTTCTCCACTGGGAGGGGGACAGTACTTGGAACAGTATTGTAATAATTTGAATCAAAACAATTCACAAATGTTGTCGGGGGAAAACCAGTGCAAATTTAATTATTTAAATTTACTATTTCAAATATATTTATTGAGAACATTACATTATATAATTAATATTATATATAATTATATATAATTAATATTATGTATAATTAATATGAACTCAAATGGCATAAGCACAAACGAGACGTGAAGTCCCATGCAAGGTGCAAACCCCGAAGCAGAGAAATACGTACATAAATATAAATACACACATACATAAAATACAAATATATAAAAGCCGCTTGCCCCTATTAGTATGACCATGAACGCAACCACCTGAATGCTTCACGGATGTGTTAGCAAAATAATTTCAAACTCACAAGCATAATGAATGCTTCACGGATGTGTTAGCATAATAATTTCAAACTCACAAGCATAATGTGGTTGCATTCAGTGAACACAATAAGAGGAACCGTCTATTAAAACTGCTTAAGATCTGTGGCAGGGGCAGTCCCGCACCAGTGTCCAGGTGCATGGCATGTCCACGTCAAATGTTGCCGTAACCAAGTTAGCGTAAGTGGCTTTAAGAGATCTTTTGAAGATGGAGAGGCTGGCAAAGGTGGTAGAGGGAAGAATTTTGCAGACGTGGTTCCATAACTTGACAAGCCGGTTGAAATATGAGGATTGAAATGTTTTGGATTTACAGAAAGGAATTTTGAGTGTGAGAGAAGGATTTCGACTAAGTCGTGTTCGGCCATTGTTGACAAATGAAACGAAACTATGCACGTCAAGATCAGTATGTCCATACAGTGCCTTAAAAAAGAACACTAAGTCTTTTATTTCTCTCTCGTAGCACAGGGGTAATAAGCCAAGGGTTATCAGCTGCTGCTTATATGCAATTTCTCCGCGCTTGGCTTGCAGTATCCAAGAGGTGGCTCTCCTTTGTACACGTTCCACTGTGGATCTCATTTTGATGGTAGGAGGAGACCAGACTTCGGTGGCGTAACTTATCTGGGACTTCACGAGTGACAAGTACAGCGTCCGCCTCACTGCGGTGTTAGTCAGTAGAGGGCAAGTTCTTTTCAGCATGCCAAGCATCTTGTTCCCTTTGGCGGTGATGGTATGAACATGATCGTCCCATGAGAGGTTGTAATTTATGAAGACACCAAGACCTTTTTCCTTATTCACACGAGTAAGTTCCTTTGAGCCCATGTGATATGCGTACGTCAGCAGGGGTTTTTTCCTTGTAATTGTCAACACCTTACACTTCGACTTGTTAAAATTGAGGTTGTTGTCACGGCTCCAGCAGTCAAGGTCTGTTAAAGCTTGTTGCAAACTTTCACAGTCATCTACTGATGTGATGGACTTGTACAGTTTGGTGTCGTCTGCATACAAAGCTGCCAAAGTCTCGTCAGGTAATATGTCGGGAAGATCGTTTATGAATATCACAAACAGAATAGGACCCAGGAGACTGCCTTACGGCACTCCAGATGTAACTGGCACCCAATTAGATGTAGCTCCATCAATCACAACCCTTTGACGACGACCACTGAGATAGTCCGCAAACCATTCATATAAATGACCTGACACACCGTATGACGCAAGCTTGTGGAGGAGAATTTGGTAATCGACAGAGTCAAAAGCTTTCGCAAAGTCGAGGTAGATAACGTCAGTTTGAACGTTTTTGTCAAGGGATTGCCCGATGGCGTGTAGTACCGATAGTAGTTGACTAAGGCAAGATCGCCGTCTAAGGAAGCCATGTTGTGCTTTTGTGACGAGGTACCTGACATGATTATATAGTCTGATGCACACGCAACGCTCTAGTACTTTGCCAACAATGGGCAGCAACGATATTGGTCTGTAATGTTCCGCCGGTTCTTTAAGATCTTTTTTGTGGACGGGTGTAACATTTGCAGATTTCCACTCAGATGGAACATGACCAGTATGCAAGGAACGGTTAAACAACTCACATATGCTTGGTGCGATTTCAAGGGCGCATACTTGTAACAGGCGAGCTGGAATACTGTCGGGGGCCGCATGCTTTCGAGGTATCAAGGGCACGCAAACATTTAAGAAGTTTAGTCAGTAAATACAGATAGTAATTTACCCTATTTGACAGGATGTTTCAGAATTATAGTCAGAAACGAACGAAAATTATGCCAAGAAAAGTCGGTCTTGCCGTTTGCTGTTCCCGCCAATGTTTATGCCAGCTCATGTGCCGCAACGGACGAAATTTCCTCATTTCAATCAACTGTGTTCGTTTGTTTCCTTTCTAAATTAATGTAACACAATGCACGTCTCGAGGATCTATGCATGTTTTAAAATATCGTCACAAAAACAAAATGCATCAACATTTATAGCTGGACGATAATTCGGAAGAACCCTGTAACAAACACAATGTGAAATACGAATTTATTATACATATTAACATACTACAGTTATATTTACAGTAACACATACAATTGACTTGTAGTAGACTTTCGATAACATTTGTGAATTGTTTTGATTCAAATTAGTGAATTCAAATTACAGTATTACAGTACTGTTCCAAGTACTGTCCCCCCTCCCAGTGGAGAAAAATTTGAAATGTTTGTTGATATTCGTTGTCCAATCAGGGTTGAGTGTATTTTGAGTTGTTCAACGACTTCTGCTTTTTGTCCAGCAAACCCGGCACACAGATATATTTTGGCCGAATTTTGTTATTCCCTTGCAGATTTCAGAGCGAATTTAAGCTCTTTGATGAGTTATACGGTATCATTCTTGCAAGGGATATCGATTAATCG